ATTTTCAATTCATTTGTATTAGGGCCTTTTGCCAGCAAATGTTTCAAATTTCCAATTATAATACTGACATTTCCTGGAGATATACAAAAGTAGTATTCCTTGTTTGTTACATAGAAAAGCATGAAAGATGGCTGACCTTGGGCCAGCCGCCAGTCGCTTTCTGTCATCCCAAGTTATCTCATAGAATTCATTGTTTTGGAAGTATGATTAATATAGGGTTGTTGTTGTGGGGAAAAGAGGAGGAGGAAGGCATATTAGGTATGTTCACCACCTTGAGTTACTTATAAAGTAACCTAAGGTGGGATAAAAAATCTAATACATTTTTTCTCAGATCATTGCTGATTACTAGCTCACAATCTCTTATTTTAAAAACAGAGGTTACATTAATATAAAAGGGAATAACAATGTTAAAAATCTGTTCCTGGGGAAAAAATATAATGTGTGTTCTGCAACATGATGCACTGCAGCCTTTGAGATTGCCTAAAATTGTCTTCCATCAAAACTAAAAGCTTTTTGCACCAATTGTTAGTAGGTTAACATGGACGAAAACCATTATCTTTGCTGTTAAACTATGTATGATAAGTCCATGCAAAAAGAACTAAGAAAGTAAGCACCATTTTTACATATGAATCCTATGATAACAAAAATTATAACGGTCTAGTAAGTAAGGCAATCAGTCTTTCAAAAACCATAAGATTGATATAAAATTTGCATTATTTCTTAAATAAATATTTTTATCCTTTTACTTATAATTTTGAAATCTTAATTTGGATTGTTGTATCTGGGAACTTAAAGTGGACTGCAAAATTATTTTTTGAGCTGAGTTTTATGCCTGATGACATCATGATTTTGTCTAGAATCCCTATGTCCTTAAAATACTGTGATATTATTTATTCATTTGGTTATTATATTTGTATCACATTTTTATTATTTGTACAATTAGGGGCAGTGTATAAAATGACCAACCTGTGTCAACTTAGTAAGATAAAATGAGAAATTAAATGCAGTTGGTTTACCAATCCTACTTGTGAACCTGTTGGAACAAGAGATCTATTGAGCCTCTGGAATGGGACTCTGTTATGTACAGACTTTTTGACATTACATGAAATTTAAACATGCAAAACATCCTTAAAATTGTTGTTTTACAAACTCCAAGAACATCATGTGTGACTTTTAAAATAACATAAATCAGTTTTGTGACTGAAATCACATGTTTCATTATAATTTGCTGATCTGCTGATCTTGCCTAAGGTCAACTGTTATGAGTAATTCATTGCAGCAACAGAATTTATGCTGGGTATTGAACAGCCATAAAAAAGAAAAAAGTTGTGTTTCTTTCAGTTTTTCCTTCATAACATTTCATCCTATCTAGTAAGTTAATTTGAAAAATCTGTATTCCTCCTGAAGAACTGTATACGCTTCCATTTGGAAAAATGCTCTAAACTCTCCTTAATGAAATATGAAAGAATGTACAGCAGATTATTTTAGAACACGTGTTATAATACCAACCTGCAGTATAGATGGGATAGATGCAAATGAAATTTACTAAATTTTCTTTTCACTTGGCAAGCATCCTGTTTGGTGGCATTGTTCTCGTATCTTTTTCTGCCAAGGTTTTGTGACTCGCATCCGGGCCATTCTTCTCTAGTCTAGTGGTCTCTGTATGTGGCAGAGTACAATTTCTAGAATCCCCAACCAAACTGTTTGAAGGCACAAACTTGGGAAAGGATTATTTTAGATAAAAGGCACCGATGATTCTTCATTCTGCATGGTAATGAAATACAAATACTCAAAGGCTGTTGTGGTGGGTTCCACCACAAATGCACGAACGACAAAAGCGCGCCTGACTAAACCGCGGTGACAAAACCATGCCGACAAAACCGCGCGACGAATGAACGACGAATGAGCCCGGAAGCGCGCCGACAACAGCGGGCCGACAGAAGCGCGCTGTAACCTAACCATAAACCTAACCTTAAACCTAACCCTAAACCTAACCCTAAACCTAACCCTAAACCTTACCTTAACTTAAATCGCGCTTATGTCGGTGTGCTGTTGTCGGTGCGCTGTTGTCAACGCGCTTTTGACATCGCGGTTTTAGCGTCGCGGTTTTGTCGGTGTGCTTATGACGTTCGCGCTTTTGTCGGGTCACGGTTGTGGTGTTCTAGTGGCCAGCGGAGCTGGCAGCAGATTTGGACAGTGAGGAGGTTGGGAAGGAACATGGGCCACTCCTGGAGTCTGGAGAAGGCTCTGATGAGGACTCTGTGCCAGAGGCAGAGAGGGAGCCAGAGACGTATGCCAGTTATCAGATGCCTTCAGAGTCAGACATCAGTGAGGCAGACAAACAGCTGGAGCCTGCTCCCAATGTGCACATGCGCAGAGTTGCCAGATGAAGGGAACAACTAAAAAACAAGGGTCGACTTGGGAGTAAGGCCACAGGTGAACGATGACTGGCCCTTCCCAGAGGAAATAAAAGAGGAACAAAAGGAGAGTGGATTTTGCTTAATTGGCATGACTCTCCGAGACTCCTTGCCAAGTTTTTCAGATATCGTCCTGGCACCTCTCCCAGCCAGATAAGGTCTGTGACTGTAAATCCTCCCTGGAAAGACTTTGCTGAATATGAATGAGCAGAATTCACAGTAAATTAATAAAAGGGGTTATTGTCATGGCCAGGAATTTGCTTCATACTCTTGGGAAGCCTGGGTCAGAACAAAGGCATTTACCTGTATTTTATAGCCCAACAGAGTGGAAGGCAGTTCCACCTCTTAATAAAAACTTGATGAGCCAGAACATTTTATTTTTTCAAATGTTGACACAGCACATTGGACAAGTACACTAAAAAATCCTCTGAGGTGTAGTAAAGGACTCTGCATCCACCTCTCCTGAATATTTCGTTGCTCATGCGAGCGATCTCCACTTCTAAAAGCAATGTACCATTGGCAAACTAATTAATACAATATAATACAATAGCAGAGTTGGAAGGGACCTTGGAGGTCTTCTAGTTCAATCCTCTGACTAGGCAGGAAACCCTACACCGTTTCAGACAAATGGCTATCCAACATCTTCTTAAAGACTTCCAGTNTGTCCAAAAAACTACTAAGTCCAGTGTGATCCAAAGAGTCATGTCTATGAAAAATTGCCAATTATGGAATGAATGAATGTATGTATGTATGTATGTATGTATGTATGTATGTATGTATGTATGTATGTATGTAGTATTTGTGCTGATAAATAAATAAAGGGAGACTAGTATAGATTATTTATCAGCACAAATACTACACAAATGTAACAAAGGGAAGAGTAAAATATTGGGCTTTCTGTCTGGATGGTCTCTTGTGACGAGCCAATGGACAGAGAATGGAAGCAGTTAGTTTCCTCCCATAATTGGGGCATACCAGGGGTTGTGACTTTAAATATACATATGTTCGTGTGTATATGTATATATACACATATATACATATACACACGAACATATGTACATATATACACACACATATACATACAAACACACACACACACATATACACACTCCATAATTTATATATATATTAAATATGGTAATATTTCTGCAAGCAGGTTTCCCTATTGTATTTTAGTGTTTTGTTAATTTATCCCTAATGTGTGCAAATTGTGTGTATTTAAAATCCAGAAAAATGTTGATATGCTGTGAAATGCATAAATTATATTTTAGTTTGTGCATTGGCTCAAGAAGGATAAACTGAAAAATAAAATACAAACCAAATGACCCTTCCCCCCAATTGCCTTTTGACAATCTTTTACAATTGGAAGCTTTAGGGGCTGCAGTGTAATAAACTGACATTACTGCTGCAGCAACAAGTTATACTTGGGCAATTCTTATGTTACATCTGAAACACACCCTGCTTTACAATACAGACTTTTCATCTCTTTATGTTTTTATTCATATTCAACCTTATTGTATTGCCTGCATTTCTCTAAATGACAGGTTTGGTATCCTACATAACTCATTTCTAGTATCTTATCTGCTATCCAAGGCACAATATTTAATGTTCAATTTCATAAGGAGACAGGCTGGCATGCGAAGTGAAACAACTGATGTTTGGTGACCAGGTTTGTTTTTGCCAATCCTGCTACCAAATTTTTCACAGCCATGCCAAACTGAAGCTACCGCCCTATCATGATGACTATACCTGGGACTAAGCCACTGCAAAAGTTTAACCTGATTATAGTAAGCATAGTTTGTGGGCATCTACATGCTCAGAAAGTCTTTGAATTCAAGTGAATCTGCTTATCTGGAAGCAGGTTCAATAAAATGTAAGGATTTTCTTTTGAACTCAAACAGGACTTTCCTTTGCAAAAAGCTGTACAGAATTAAGTTATAAACAAATTAAACTGTATAAAAGAGAATTGTGTTATAACAAATTTGTTATAAACAAATTAAAATCTTTTCTTTCCAATCACACATCTCTATTTCTAAGTGGAATATTTCTAAGGCAACTAAGCCACCCACACAAAATACAAAGCCCAGACTATTCTGTAAGCAAAGAATCAGATGAAATCATTCAAATTTCTTTTCTGATGTATTTCTCCCAAGCTGTCCATGTTAGTCTTGGCTCCAAAGAGGAACAGCCCAACCAAGCCTATTTCAAGTCATTGTTTAGTGAATCATAACAGATTTCCCTTTCTTTTAGATGCATAGTTTCAAAATGAGTGTTTATATTATGCCGGTGGCTTCAGAAACTCCCTTTTCCCCCACGGCTCTTCCTGCCAAAATCCGATCTGCAGGCGCGCTCGAAGAATTTAAAAGGTAATTTTGTGCTACGACCCTTGCCAGGCCGGGACACCTCACGATTCGCCAGATCTCCGGATTTGGTTTGGATGCTTAAAGCTCCACGCCGATCTGTCTCGGCACCTGTCCAACTCGGCTGCCACCTCCTCTGCAGCGATGTTTTCCGTCACACCCTAACCCGCCGTCACAGGCGACATACACCTGGCTCAGGGAGAGCCAGCCAAAAGTTACTTACTGGTGTCGCTTCTGCTGGATTTGAAGTTTTTCTGCCAGCTTGTGTAAAAAGGCTGGTCCCCCGGGAAACTTCGGAACAACACCTCCGAGTTCTCCGCTCCCAAAAGCGATCGGGAAAAATCCGAATCGGAACGAAACGAAACTCAACCGAAAGTTTGGGGCAGGATCCTACCTCCCAGCAGCTCTTCCAAACACGCGCTTTCTTTGTTGGGATCTGTTTTTCCTCCCCACCCCCCCGTCTCCAAGAATAGAGTGGGAGGGTGACTCAAAAGACCGCCCACCGATGACGAGCCTGTAAAGAGTTTAGCTTGCAGATTTTTACAGCGTGCAGAGAGAAGAGGAAGTGAAGTTTTGGCAAACGGCTCGTAAACTTGTTTATGTGGAGATCTCCTGTTGGGGAAGTCGGATTAGAAACTCCGGGAGTCGAAAGTAGCACTGTCCCCTAAGGGAATCTCTGCTGGTCCGTGAGGCTGCAACTCTCGGGGACGGAGCCAAAGCAAAGCCCGACCTTTGCGACTTCGCTGCTGCGGGCGCTTGGGGACTCTCAACCGGGGGACAGTCTCGCTGCATTTGGGGTTTTTTTTCCCCTTTAAACCGCGGAGGAGGGCGGAAAAGAGTTGGCAGCGCTGTTCAAATTCTTTAAGAAGTCCCCATGCAAAGGATATGCCTTCGCTCACCCATTTGCTGCCCGAGGTGCCCGATTTAATTTCCAAACAAATGCTGGGAGTCGACCCCATCCAGAAGGCAGCCTTCCCCCTAGCCGTCTGTTTTCTGATTTTCTATTTTTAGGAGATCCGATGTGCTTGTTAATTACTCATGGTTAACTCTCCAGAGTTAATTTATTATGGATAATAAATTTCAAAAGGGATATTTTGAAATGCAATCACAGCCTAAAATAAGGGGGTTAAAATGTAGTTTCTGCTTTCTGCTTGCATGCGTCATACAAATCCAAGCATAGAGAGGTCATGTGCTGCAATGAGAACAGGAGTGTAATTCAGATGCCAAGTGAGCTACAGACCTTGATGGGCGATCAGTTTGGCTCAGTTTCTAGAGTCCCAGGTATTTAATTGAGAGGGAGCAAGAGAGAAAGAGAATTACCTATGTTCCCTAGAGTAGATTAGGGTAAAGGTAGAATTTTACTCAACTGTTCTGTAGTTTCATTTGGAGCTGCCAAAATATAATAAGGAAAACCTTATTTGGCATATAGTTTTTACCTATTGGTTGTAGTTTTAACTCCCCTAATTTCATAAACAGATTGGGCAATAAAAATATTGTTTTACACAAATTATTAGCATAGAGACTTATTAGCATAGTGCGTTTCAATTGAATTGATATCCCTAAATTTCCAGCCAGCATAGCAGTATTACAGGAGACTAAGACTGGATTAAGACACAATAGAGTCTTTATGTTGGGGCTTAGTATGTTGTATGAACTCTGCCATTGTGATAAGTAAATTATGCTTAATAATTTAGCGTGTTGCAAACCCCAGCTAATTGTGATTTATTCAATAAATACTTGTTAACCCGATTATATATGAACACAACCTAGAGTTATAATTCAACAGTATCTGGTAGGTCACAAATTTTCTTTTCCTGTTTTGGTAGTTTAAATAAGTGTTTATTTTCAGGATTGTTTGTATTTTTAATTTTAAAAAATGAAGTTTGGAAAAAAAAATCTTGCTTTTGCTAAAGAGATATTTTAAAGCTTAGTGTGATACACTTGCCAACTGATGTGATTAAATAAATGTATGCACCAGTTTAATGACAGCACTGAACAGGACTACAATCAGCCCTAACACATCAAGTATTATGCAGTATATGCCTGATCTTGTTTGTATGCTTATTAACTTGTACATTAGTCCTCAACTTACAACAGTTCATTAAGTGACTCTTCAAAGTTACTGCAGCACTGAAAAAAGTGACTTTATGACTGTTTTTCACACTTAACAACTTTGTAGCATCCCCATGATCACATGATCAAAAGTCAGATGCTTGGCAAACTGACTCATATTTATGACCATTGTTGTGTCCCAAGGTCATGTGATCCCCTTTTGCAACCTTCTGACAAAGCAAAATAAATGGGGAAACCAGATTCATTAAACAACTATATTAGTATCATCATTATGATTAGAATCATAACCATATGATTCACTTAACAACTGTGGCAAGAAAGGCTGTCAAATGGAGCAAAACTCACTTAACAAATGTCTCGCTTAACAGCAGGAATGTTGGGCTCAATTGTGGTTGAGTACTACCTATATATGGCCTCATGTTTGCTTAATTATGGTTTATTGATTAAAACAAGATTAATTGTGTTGTGTGAATCTAGCCACTCAGCTGTGCATTTAGCACTGTATTGCTGCTGAAATCATAAAATGATTATTTGAACAGCAGATAACAGAGGTGCTATTAAGTTTCACTGTTTAATAAGGAAGGAAGGGGATGATTTTGTGTGCGATCACCTTGGAATGATAACAAAAGTGCAACATCACCCATATCTTATCTTTGCTTTGACAACGCCTTTTTGTCAAAAATCTGGCTCCAGGAAGTGCCACATCTATTCCTGGTGAAGGAAGGTAATCAAGGTATCTGGAGGTGGAAGTGCTACAAGCCCTGCCTTGACCTCTTGAAGGAAAGATGAAATGTACATCTAACAAATGAATGAATGAGCCGAGTTGTCTTAGTTTTCCCGCCATGCTTATCCATAAATCTTGCTACACAGATGGTTCTGATTATGGTGGTATAAGATGGTAGACTACCATACATACAAGCTACATTAGATATTGTGTGAAAATAGCTTATGAAAACCCAGAGTTCTGTGCAGAAAAAAAGAAACTTGTTGCCATGGCATTGTAGGCTCTGAATTACTTAGTGATTAGAAAGAATCCAGTTAGTACAATATTTCCAATATGGAAATATACTAATAGAGAAGGGTGATGATTTTCTCATTATAATGGCAGAAGATTGAAGAGGGGAAAAGGATGCAAATATGGGCCTGATCCAGTGTGCTCATTTTGATTTCATTCATAATTTTAAACGTTAGGGCAACTGTGCCAGTCCTACAATATCTAGATTGCATAAATTGGGATAATTGCTAGATAAGAGAAAAGCAATTAGGAAACCTTTCTTTCTAATGCCATCAAGTAGTTATCAAGACCTTTACCATTTAGATATGATAGTCTTCATATCAAAACCTTTCTCAATTCTCTCTGTCTCTCTCTCTTTCTCTCCCCCCCCTCTCACACACACAGCACATTTCGTCACTTTTCCTTGGTGAGAATCTTATATAATAGCAATATGTTTTTTATATAGCTGATAATAAATATGAAATATGAATTCACTTGGCTTGCACATCCAGACTTCCAAATTATTTTCAATTCATTTGTATTAGGGCCTTTTGCCAGCAAATGTTTCAAATTTCCAATTATAATACTGACATTTCCTGGAGATATACAAAAGTAGTATTCCTTGTTTGTTACATAGAAAAGCATGAAAGATGGCTGACCTTGGGCCAGCCGCCAGTCGCTTTCTGTCATCCCAAGTTATCTCATAGAATTCATTGTTTTGGAAGTATGATTAATATAGGGTTGTTGTTGTGGGGAAAAGAGGAGGAGGAAGGCATATTAGGTATGTTCACCACCTTGAGTTACTTATAAAGTAACCTAAGGTGGGATAAAAAATCTAATACATTTTTTCTCAGATCATTGCTGATTACTAGCTCACAATCTCTTATTTTAAAAACAGAGGTTACATTAATATAAAAGGGAATAACAATGTTAAAAATCTGTTCCTGGGGAAAAAATATAATGTGTGTTCTGCAACATGATGCACTGCAGCCTTTGAGATTGCCTAAAATTGTCTTCCATCAAAACTAAAAGCTTTTTGCACCAATTGTTAGTAGGTTAACATGGACGAAAACCATTATCTTTGCTGTTAAACTATGTATGATAAGTCCATGCAAAAAGAACTAAGAAAGTAAGCACCATTTTTACATATGAATCCTATGATAACAAAAATTATAACGGTCTAGTAAGTAAGGCAATCAGTCTTTCAAAAACCATAAGATTGATATAAAATTTGCATTATTTCTTAAATAAATATTTTTATCCTTTTACTTATAATTTTGAAATCTTAATTTGGATTGTTGTATCTGGGAACTTAAAGTGGACTGCAAAATTATTTTTTGAGCTGAGTTTTATGCCTGATGACATCATGATTTTGTCTAGAATCCCTATGTCCTTAAAATACTGTGATATTATTTATTCATTTGGTTATTATATTTGTATCACATTTTTATTATTTGTACAATTAGGGGCAGTGTATAAAATGACCAACCTGTGTCAACTTAGTAAGATAAAATGAGAAATTAAATGCAGTTGGTTTACCAATCCTACTTGTGAACCTGTTGGAACAAGAGATCTATTGAGCCTCTGGAATGGGACTCTGTTATGTACAGACTTTTTGACATTACATGAAATTTAAACATGCAAAACATCCTTAAAATTGTTGTTTTACAAACTCCAAGAACATCATGTGTGACTTTTAAAATAACATAAATCAGTTTTGTGACTGAAATCACATGTTTCATTATAATTTGCTGATCTGCTGATCTTGCCTAAGGTCAACTGTTATGAGTAATTCATTGCAGCAACAGAATTTATGCTGGGTATTGAACAGCCATAAAAAAGAAAAAAGTTGTGTTTCTTTCAGTTTTTCCTTCATAACATTTCATCCTATCTAGTAAGTTAATTTGAAAAATCTGTATTCCTCCTGAAGAACTGTATACGCTTCCATTTGGAAAAATGCTCTAAACTCTCCTTAATGAAATATGAAAGAATGTACAGCAGATTATTTTAGAACACGTGTTATAATACCAACCTGCAGTATAGATGGGATAGATGCAAATGAAATTTACTAAATTTTCTTTTCACTTGGCAAGCATCCTGTTTGGTGGCATTGTTCTCGTATCTTTTTCTGCCAAGGTTTTGTGACTCGCATCCGGGCCATTCTTCTCTAGTCTAGTGGTCTCTGTATGTGGCAGAGTACAATTTCTAGAATCCCCAACCAAACTGTTTGAAGGCACAAACTTGGGAAAGGATTATTTTAGATAAAAGGCACCGATGATTCTTCATTCTGCATGGTAATGAAATACAAATACTCAAAGGCTGTTGTGGTGGGTTCCACCACAAATGCACGAACGACAAAAGCGCGCCTGACTAAACCGCGGTGACAAAACCATGCCGACAAAACCGCGCGACGAATGAACGACGAATGAGCCCGGAAGCGCGCCGACAACAGCGGGCCGACAGAAGCGCGCTGTAACCTAACCATAAACCTAACCTTAAACCTAACCCTAAACCTAACCCTAAACCTAACCCTAAACCT